CTAAGGGCCCCACCTTGGGCCTAAGTTCACAGAGCTGAATTTGAACTGACTGCAGGCAGGATCCAAGCCCTCTTTTTTCCACTGCACCACGCTGTCTCTCCTTAGTGTCTCACCCATGAAGTGTACGAGAGAAGAGGCACCAAGAGCATAACCCCTTGGGGTCTTTTATTTGCAAAACCTGCTAGAGAGCCTCAGGCAGTCCTGGGAGACATGAGGTCAGAGTTATGGTAACCTGTCCATCCAGTTGGACAATCACTGATGAAGCAAGCACAGTCCTGCTGGGTTCCTCTTCTCCCATGTCCATCCCACCCACACAGGTGGGTTCTTGCAATGGCCCAGGACAGTCAGCCCAAGCCCTTCTGACCCTCTGAGAGCACCACACAATATTGCACTTGATAACCAATGTGGCCAGTCACAGCTCTAATCACATCATAAAGGGTAAGAGAGTGGATACTGGAGCCTGATTGCCTGGATTTGAGTCCCAGCTCAAGGTTACTAGCTAACCTTAGGCAAGTTTCTTAACCTCTCCCTGTCTTAGCTTCCTCACCCGTAAAAGTGGGATGAGAATAACTCATAGGTTTGTTTGGTAGGATTCTCAAAAACCTGAAAAGCTTTTAGAACAGTTAACTACCCCAAATGAAAATGAGCATGTCTCTACATGAAATGGATTAAGAAAAAATAAATACTTGAAACTTTTAGAACAATGCCTGGTGTATACAATGCTAAGTACTCAGTCAGTGTTTTAAAAATAATAACAATTATTTTTATTATCATTATTTTTGGCCATACCATGTAGCGTCTTAGTTCTCAGACCAGGGACCAAACCTGCACCCCTGGTGGTGGAAGCACAGAGTCCCAAACACTGAACAGCCAGGGAAGTCCCTATTATTATTATTATTATTATTCAGATAGCCAGACTGAGACATAGAAAAACAGAGTAACTTGTCAAATGAAGCATGTATATATAGAAAAGCTGGAACCAGAACTGGTTCTTTTGCCTTTTAATCCAGTGTACTTTGTATACTTGGTCACATGCTTTAACACTAAGATCACTGATTTAAAATTCATTGATTCTTTGAAAGTAGCCTGAGCTGTTCCCCTATGCTGAAAATAATCACTTTATTAATTCATCTTTTTAAAAGTCTTTTATAAAAACAAACTGTCATCAAGAAGACTAGAATTGACAGGAACTAGCTCAGTTCTACCACTGCATTGGACTCCAAGAGAGATTATCAGGCTCTATAAGTGATAAAAACTGCTGGTTGTTAGCACCAGTTTAGTTGCAATTAATTGCATAACTGTCTTGGGTGTTTCAGAAAAGTGTCTAATTTCTGTTGCAATCTTAAAAAGATAAAACCATAAATACTTGCACAGCTGTAGTAGAATTACACATATCCTAAGTATAAAAAACCAACTTGTCATTGGGAGATGGCCCATCTGGAATATTTTTATAGAAGAGTGGGTTTCAGTGACATTACAGAGAAGAGGCTAAAACATTGGTGGTGGGGATTTTTAGGGCTCCTTAAAAAAGTTTCTGTGTATAAATTGATATTTGATGATGGTATAGTTTCCAACCGTGGGAACATTTATGCAGCCCTGCAGTGTCTCTAACATTGGAGAGTCAAAGAGCAGACCTAGGTCTCACCCAGGGGGCTTGTGGGTAATCAGACAGTGGTGGTTTTCCAGGATGATGGTGACAGAATGAGGGAGGTGAGCACAGAGTTGTGTGTGTGTTAAGTTGCTCAGTCATGTCTGACTTTGTGTGACCTAATGGACTGCAGCCTGCCAGCTTCCTCTGTCCATGGAATTCTCCAGGCAAGAATACTGGAGTGGGTTGCCATTTCCTTCACCAGGGGATCTTCCTGACCCAGAGATCAAACCCAGGTCTCTTGTATTGCAGGCAGATTCTTTACTGTCTGAGCTGCCAAGGAAGCCCAGAGAAGTGGCTCCTGATAGGGAAGGCAAGGAAAGCTTCTTGAAAGAGATAATGCCTGAGGAGTCTTTTAAGGATGAGTTGATTTTTGTGAGGTAAACAGCTTGAGGAAAAGGTCTTCCAGATAAAGAAGGAGATGAAGGAGCAGAGATAAGAAAGTCTGTCTTGTTCTGGATGTGCAAGATGCAACGCTCAGTTTTTTTTTTTTTTAAGTCTGCATTTGTGAAGAAATTAACATGCGGTAATAAGGATAGCTGATGTTTTGAGTTTTGTGTGTTCTTAAAACTTTGATTATGTTGGTCATTTAATTCTTGCAAAAGTCACATTAAGTAGAGACACTTATTGTCCCCATTCTGCAGGTGGAGAAACTGAGGCACAGAGAAGTTCAGTGATTTTCCCCCGTTCTTCTGGAGAACCAGGATAGTAACCTAAACCGTATGTCAGAGACTTTGCCTCTGTGCGAGCTCACAATGAGAGCATCTGTTTGGTTTGGAGCTACCTAGTAACTAACCCAGATAACAACCAGATTTTACCCACTCCCAACCAAGATGAGATCAACTTTAGCCCATAATTCCATGACTTGTGGGAAGTCCATTCTCTTCTTGAAAATTTCTATGAATTACGAGAGGCTTGTGTTTTGTTTCCTGTGGTTCACATTCTCTATGCAGCATTTCTGAGCTGTTTCTTTGTCTCTATCCTGTCTTGGTGATGGCCGGTTGGTGGGTACAGCCCCTTCTTAATTTAACCCCTTCCTCCCCTACCCAAACCATGCATGAATTAAGATTTGGGGGGCTGCTGTGACCAATAGATGCCATGGTATGTTGACTGTAACATGGAATTCCCTCCCCTTCCCGCCTCACAAGCAAGGCCAACTGTGGACTGGGAAATGCAGTGTCCTGACATTAAAGGAGTGGCAGGCTGCAGAGAGAAGGCCTGGACGCCTTCAGGCGTCCAAGGCCTGTGGCCTGTGGCCTGGATCCCAGCCCTTCCCAATCTGCGAGGGCTGAGGAATGAGAGGAAGGGCGAGGGAAGGGGATATGCTGGGACGCGATTCAGTGCCATCCCGGTACCTCAGAACACAGGAACTCAATTAACAAACAGTAAACTTTTGGCTGCTTTCTTGCTAACCATGCAGGTAACTGTATAAGGTTGAACGTTCCCTAAACTATTATACTTCTCTGACTTTTAAACACCTATTATCTAAAACCTGGTTGTGATTTTTAACTGCATTAGTTTATATTGCATCCCTTTTGTATTACATGTTTACATGTTTTTGTATTACATGTGTATAACTGTATTTAGGAGTCATCTGTGATTTCTGTTTCTGAATTACTGCTTTACCTTTACCTATGGGACTTTGGGCAAGTCACTTCATTTCTTCTGATCTCAGTTTCTTCAGTTGCAAAATGAAGATTATAATTATCTTCAGAGGACCATCATGAGGATTAAATAATACATAAAAAAGTGCATGGTACAGTGTCTGAAGGGCAGTAATGGATCGGTACATGTTAGCAATCATTATTTCTCCCATCAACCAAGAGCTGACTGTAATTTGGCTGATGTAGGGGAGGTAGGATGGCAGTAAGCAGTCACCAATTAGGATTTTGTGTTTTTACCCAAAGGATGGATTTCATCCAGTTTTTCAAGCCATCTCTAATGGGAGTGGGATCTATCTGTAGGGGTGACAGTATAACCCAACATGCTCTCCAAAAACATAACAGAGTTTAATTTCCTGTTTAATTTAAAAAATACATAGGTGTTTCATGCTCTATTCTGTAACATGTTCAGTGGTACAAAGGTGGCCTTCAAAGAGGAATATTTAGTTGAATGATTATAAAATCAGCATCTGGAAGGAGTCTCAACCTATTCTAGAAAAAGAGAAAATTGCCAACCAATAGAACCAACTTTTTGAAATGTCCTGATTTCAGTACCATGTCATCTTAAATTCAAGACTGCTTCTAAGATCAAATATATATATCAATGATTAATATATTCTGTAATACATTCCGTAATACTTTGTCTTAGGGATTAAAAAAAATATTCTGGGCTTTGGAAAATGTTCTTACACAAAAAAGCAAAGAGAGGATAGAATATGCTCGTGTTCTGAAAATACTGAAACTTTGGTCAAGCTGTAACTGATTAAAAAACCTGTTGGAACTAGGATTTGCCTTGGAGCCTTCACAGTTGAATATGATAGATTAGTGAATGGAAGCCCAGGAAACTCTTACCTTCACCCCAGTTCTCAAGTTTGAGGCCAAACATTCAACGTAATCACTGTTACATTGGGTAACAGGGTAAATATATCCCTGTTTCCTTTATGCTGTTGGTAAGTTTCTCCTGGAAAGGTGTAGGGGAATGGTGATAGGAGAACGTGCGGACAGACTGACTTTCCTCAGTCCTAGGAAAGTCAAGGGAACAGTCTTGCTGTAAGGCTAGCCTTGCTTCATGAGGTCTGTAAAAGTTTCCTATTTAAAAATATCCCAGCAATTCCAGCAGCACAGTTTTTGAGGAACTAGCCTACTGTGTTCCCCCTTTGCTTGGCAAAGTAATAAAGCCACTCTTTCTCTTTCAAAAACAACAACAACAAAAAAAAAGTCCTATACTCTTAACAAGAAATACCTCAATATATTTTGGAGAAAAACCTACCCATACACGTCTTCTCCATACTGTCAGCATTTTGTTAAAATGAACAAAAGTTTTGTTTTTTTTTTCTAAAAAAACAAAAACAAAAATACCACAACAACCCACAAACCAATATGCAGAAACTGGGAAGTGAAACACAGAAAATAGGAATTTAAAAGTCAAACCAGAACAAGTCTTTGAAAAGTCCAGGACAGGATACATGGAAGCTATTTTGTAATTTACAAACTATCATCTTTATGTTTGGTAATACCCACAGGCCAAATTTACAGTTTATGTTCTGTAGAAATCACATGAGAGCCTTAAACCAAAATGCTGCTTGAAAATGATGAGCTCATTGGTGATACTTCACTGAACCTTACAATTTTAGGAGGTTTAAACATCTTATCTCCATGACTCATGAACAGATATTTAGTCATAGGCTTCATACTTTCTATATATGCTTCATTTATTTCACAGCTTATAGCAATTATAGTAGATCATAGTTGGAGCTGAAATATAACAAAAAAATTATTCTAATATATTAAGTAAGGCTGAAAGTTTAACATAAACAAGTCTATAAGATTGGTACCCCAAATTAGGATTATTTTAATATATGACACGAACCCCAAAAATAAAACATCAAAAAAATAGAAATAGACCAAAGAGTATGTCACAAAGAGTATGTAACATACAAGTGCTTACTAATATAACATATCTAAAACTGTATTATTATTTTCAAAAATAGTTGTCTTTTACTAGCTGGGTACCTGAAAAACTTTAAAGAACATACTGTTTTAAAAGCCTTATAAGCAATTTTCAATTTACTTAGCAGATAAAATGTTATCTTTTTTGTTTGTGAGCTCCCAGTTGGTACCAACTACGTAAGGTATTCAACATGTATATATTTTTATTTCATTCATTTTTTTGGTAATAATTTATGTGCAAAATTTAAAAATTCAGGTGAATAAGCTCTATGTTGGAAAGTATTCTTAAATGGTGCTAGTGACCATGGTGCTATAGAAAATGGCTTTGCTGCTGAACATTATGTAGAACATATGGTAATTGAAATCTTGCTACTCCTTCTCTATATTTTGGCCCCAGACTCCAAGGCGGATAAAGAAAAGAAAAATGATAAAGGGAGGAGAAGATCTTTTGGTGACTTGGTTAGCTGTCAGATCAACCAATCACAGGAACTTCCAAGCGGGCTCTGTTGAGAGCTTGGTGCACCCATTTATGCTGTTATGGTCCTAAAGTGATACAACAGGGCACACCAGAGGCCAGCACACTTTTTCTATGAAGGGACAAGCAGTAAATATATTTGTCACAACTACTCAATTCTGCCACTGTAGCATGAGTGCAGCTGTGGTTGAATGAGTGTGACTGTGTTCAAGTAACTTTATTTACAGACGCTGAAGTGTACCTTATGTAATTTTCACATCATGAAATATTATTATGATTTTTTAACGTTAAAAAATGAGGAAACCACCCTCAGCAACTTGGGCCAAAGAAACAGATTGTGGCAGATGGGCCAGTGAGGTGTGTCTGAGCCCTGGTCTGCAACGGTTGGAGGTCCTTGGGGCATTGAGCTCACTTTCCAATGGGCCTCACCAAACTGACTCCCACAGCAGCTTCTTTCTTTCCTTTGTGCCATTGTTGCTGGGCTGCAGGGACATCAAAAGGGGCTGATATGGGAATTCCCTGGAGGTCCAGTGGTTAGGGCACCCCACTCCCCCTGCAGGGGTCCAGGTTCATCCCTGGTTGGGGAACTAAGATCCTGCATGTAGCATGGCCAAAAAAAAGTTTTTTAAGAAGTGACAGATATAAAAAGATAAAGGTTATTTCAATCTCTCTTTTGTCCTCTCTGGAAGATTTTCTTCAGGTTTATTTCTTAAACATCTAAGAGGACATTAAATTAGAGATTCTAAAACTAGATAGCTTAAAATCTATTTTCCAATGTTTTTCTTTCTATGAAGATTACATTTTGAGGCCTACTATGATTATTTGATTTTAAATACCTAGAAATTTAAGGCACTGTACACTTTCACTTTTTTAATAAACCACATGGCAAAACAATACTTTAATAAATGTATAGGAAATTATAATTTGAAGATCGCAAATTCAGTACATATACATATACTATAGTTGGATTTTAAATTACATGGACAGACTCCAGCTTCAAAATCTTTCTAAAAATCAACCATTATGCAAAATACCTGGTTTCTGAAAGTGTATATGGGAAAGTATATACAATTTCTTAAAGTGTGATATGGCTTACTTATTAACATGTATTTATTTAGAGAAGCATAAGCTTTCCAAATATACATTATCTTTCAGGTGCAAAGTTGACATATTGGCACATTTCAATTTTGTTGCAGTTATTTCAGAATATACTTAATTGCAATATTTAAATTGACACTGTCATAGGTTTAACTGGGAGTCTTCTTAAGTGTTTTCCAATCTAACCAAAAATTAGAAAATGTTTGTTGGTCATCACAATATGACTAGAAGAATGAGTTAAATCTTTGGAAAGCGAGAATTCAATGACCGGCTGGCTGGAATGTGTAACAGAGGGGCACACATACAATTTAACACTGAGGACTTCCCATGATAGTTCTTCTCTACAATTTGTGTGCTCCTACTGGCATCACAAGCAATATCCCTGGCTAGCGATCGGTAACATAAATGTGAAGCCCTGTCTGGTCGGATTCACAGGACAGATCTGTAGCCAGGGTTTGCAAATGATATTGTGGTCAGAGAGACATTAGGCATAACAACAATTTGGGGATCAAGCTGGCCTCCCCTCAACAGAGCATACAGCAAAGTGTCACTATACATTTGTGACTAATAATACCCAAGTGAAGTTTGATTCAAAGACAAACTGAACCCAATGAACTAGTCTTGTGAACACATTCTGTAACTTTAAATTTACTATAATATACATAAGGCAGAGGCAACAGCAAAAGTGTCTAAAACCTCATTCCAAAGGGGCTCAAATTCTATATAATACCTTATTTCGTTGACCAACTGAAGAAAATACATTTAGAAAATACATTAATTGTGCTTGTTTCAGAAGTGAACGCTTCTCTGTGGTAAGAGTGGTTGTGTGAATCTTAGCAGTGATCCTGGCTTGTGATTGTGCAGTGCATCTACTTCTACCACACTTAGCATAAAACTCGGTGTGCAGAGAAACTTGGATCAGGAACAATCAGCAGCTTAAACAAAGGTTCTGCCCTACCCAGAAACACATTTATAAGTGGTGCTTTGTCTCTGAAGAATGGTTTTTCCTCACATTAAAATGAAAGGGAAGCTCATATATCTGATCCTGTGTCTATTCTGGGAAAATTCTACTGAAGACAAACACTCCGTGAGGACACCTGGGCTCAAGAGACAACACCAGAACACTGAGACTCCTAAGAGCAGGAAACTAGTTTTAGGAAATGGGAACAAAGCACCCAAAATGGAAAACAGTGAAATAAGAAATCCAGTGATGTGGCAAACAATACTGATGGGAGCTGCAAGTTGTGAAAATCCAGGCTCACGTCACACAAGGAATAGCTAATGCAAAATGTATGAAGGAATTTAGTTGCTTCTGGTTCTGCATTTCAAAGCCCTCTGAAATATGCCTTATGCAACTATATTCCCCATGTTATATTTCTAAAGCAGCATGGTTGTTAATGAAATGGGCCATAAAAGTCAAAATGCTGCATCTGGCCAGAGCAGTGAAACACAGGTTATACACATAAGTAACTCTGACTATTTGCAAATGATAACTAAAATACACCTCACTGAAGAACTGTCCAGTTTTTATGTTGTGATCTGTTTTCCTTATGCAAAATTAATAATGCTAGGTGTTCATACATACAGCCACCGCCTTTGCTGGACAATGGAGAGCCCTTTTTGAGAGCTGGCTGAGGAGTATAACTACAGGCTGTAACTAGGTGGGGGAAGGACAGACCAACTTTGCAATTCTTGGTCGTATATGCTAAGTTTATATCCTTCTCTGTGGATCTTATGAAGTTACAAGTTAAATCTATCAATCCTCAAATCTTATACTCCCAGTGAAGTACCAGTACAAAGTCTATAGTCCTTGCTACAAAAAGCAAAGCATAGGCAAGCTTCATGTTTCTCATTTTAAGGAGAACACTATAAGATTTACAAAAGTTTTTGGTCTTTGCGTTTTACAAAAAGATCCTTTCAATCCTCAAATGTATTTCAGACTGTTTCATCAAGTAACTTTCCAAGGAATGGGTCATTATGAAAAGTCAGGTATAGCTATTTAAGATAAAGGAAAATTTATAAGAAACAAGCTGGGTAGCTATGAGGAACAATTTGCAAATACCGGGAAACCATTAGCATAATTAGCATTAAGGCATATTCTTTTCCCTTCTCTTGCTAGGTGCTCAAAGTCTACAAGTGCCCAAATGTCTACTGAAATGCCTCTCATTTATTCTTACTTGCCCTCTGTATTTTAATTTTATATTTATTTTGATTTCAACAGCTTATGTGCTACTGAAATTTTTGAAAAATCCAAATCATTATTTTAAATATATTCACAGTAAGATTCTCATAAAGTTAATATTCAATTCAACAAACACAAGGTTTTATTAGGAACCATTAATCCTCATCAACCCTTTTACTGGATACCGTCAACAATAAATTTTGGGGTAAATCCAGGTTTTATCTTAGGCTTATTACATAGAGAGGTATTTGGCAGAAAGATAAAGTGTGTGTCCTGTTCATTTATATCAGGAGTCATCTGCATGCCCATCTAGGATTTCAGTTCACAACTTGCCTGGTACACTGCTGCTCTGCTCTGATTCTGAGGAGTCAAAGGATCCTATCTGTTCTTGGTATAAGAAACTGTTCTTGAAAATGGATTTGTAACATGTATAAAGATAATCTCAAAACCAACAGTTGCAAAATGAAACATGAATATTCACAGCTGCCTCTTTAACACAATCGTTACCAATTAGTTGCCTCTGCTCTGAAAACTAATGCTTAGCCTCCCCACAACAGATTTAATGTCTATCCCCATTCCCCTGCTTCAAAACACAAGAACATACAAGGTCAAAGACCCTTGAAAATTTTGTCTTCTCAGAGTAATATCTTCCCCCAATCCCTCTGGGCATTTCTGTTATGATACTATCATTGGAAAAACTTCAAAATTATATCCTAGGATTTCTGGAGTCCATGGAGAATCCCTAACCCATACCATTGATCCAAAATTCCTCCTGGAGGAAGGTGGTTGGTCTACACATGAGAGGTGGAGGGCACGCTGAAACTTACTTTCCCAGAGTTCTACCCTCAAAGGGCTCCCACAGATTAACTGGTATGGAAGCAGGAAGGAAGGTGCCGAGCAAACTTCCTATACAAAAAGCAAGGCAGTTCTTAAAAGGACAGAGAGTCACTGTTTACCTTCTGCAGTCTCTTGCTGTTCTTAAAATAATTCCACGAATAAGTGATTTCAGGAAGACTTAAATCTGAAACCCCACAACCCATTCTCACTCCTAAATTTTGTTTCAAAGTATCATATTATAATTTGAGTTTATGATTCACTTCTCCTATTCAGAATAACACAGAAAATATCTCCTAAACAATTTAGAATCAGTGGCCACAATATGTTAATATTTGATTCTGATAAGATTATAAATAACCAAAAATGCTAACTTTGACATACAAAACCCGGTACTATCTGGAAATAGTTGATTACAAATTATAACAATAAGATTTGAACTTATTTGTGAAATAAAACATTTCTGAAACTCTAGGAATACATGCTTATTCCACCCTCTGGATAATTAGTAGTACTTTGAGAAATAATTTTGGTAAAAAGAGAGCTGGGTGTCAAATTCAAGAAGCTGGGTTCAAGATTACATAATAAAAAAAAACAGTTTTCCAGCACTGGCTTGATATAAAAATGGTCTTTAAAAAGGATTTTTAAATGCAAATACTGAATTCTTGATGCTTTCTTTTAAAACATGTACTGTCATAATTAGTGAAGTACGGTCTTGGATTGTCTTCTATGAGGTATCTGTAGAGTCATGTCTCATTCTGTAAACAGTGTTTTAGAAACATCTTCATATGAGAATCATGGTGAAGTCTCATTTTACCATTAAACAGAAACTACCACTGTCAGGCTGGAGTGTCTGTTTTGAGAGACTGGTGCTTGATAGTGACACAGCCGTCAGGGATTCCATTTCTCACTCAGGTGTGCATTTATTGCTCTCACATCTGTGACTGCAGGATAAATAAGGCAGCAGTCTCCCCTATATACACAGTTAGGAACTGGAATTCTGACAGTTTGCACAAGTTCTGTCCACTTCTTGCCTGTAGCTCTGAAGCTGAATAGTACATTTATACATGCCAAATGTGTTCAATAATAAATGCTTTGCTTTGGACTGTACTTCCTCCCATTTAGATGAACTTCCAGGAACTGCAATATCAAGAAAATATCATTACTATTCACTGCACACAGTTACATATTAGTGAACAAGATAAGGGGCAAAAAAACAATCATACTATTCTGTGTACATGTTTTTATTAGTTTGAATTCTACCCTCTTGAAGCTATTCTTTTAGAGAAGTGTTTCAGTTCACAAAGCCAGAACGACTTCTTCTTATTCCAATTTTTCTAGTCCACTCTTGCGTAGAGAAAGAACACTAGACATCAACTGCAAGTCTTTCATCTTTTGTAGTCTTTTTAAAAAAGCCATAAGCATGTATTATTTTGATAAAAAATAAAAAGCAACAATCTGTGAAATGTTTAAATAAAAACATAGAGTCTAGCTTTTTCTATATAGAAAAAACATGGTAAATATACTTTATGCCTTTCATCTGAAGGCAAAAAATCAATCTGTAATATCTCATCAGAGAGAATATGATTGCTCTGCTATCATTATATTGACTTGCAACTCACCTTTTGAAGAGCTTCACCCTTCCCTTAAAATAAATCTTTCCAGCAGAAAAGTCTTCCTATTTACTCCTAAGGACAGTTGTTAAATTCCAAAGATAGAAGTCCACCAACCCCAGCATTTACCGTCAGCAACATACTTAGCTGTATGTGTACTATGGCAGTAGGTTTTCCTGAAGTGAGAGACCAGATATTTAAATCTTCCACTGAATGTACATCTTCTATTTTCATCAAAGCTTCTTTGATATAGTCTACGTTCAAATGGCTTGGTACACCTATTCAGAATGGATCATTTATAAATAAAGGCTATTTTAAGAAAAAAGTTATATATCACTAATATGACATTTTTTAAGAAAAGAAACCAAATGGGTTTACCTAATTCAGTTTAAATTAATATTTAAATTATATTAAAACTTTAATATAAACTATGCATATATATAGCAGGATATACACAAGAGGTTAATAAATACTTAAAAAAATGCACACCAAAAAGAAATGTCAACCAAATCAGAATACTTTAATAAAAAATAAGCTAGGATAGATGAAAAAGAAAAAAGGAACATACAATGATGATAAACCTACTTTTGAGAACTCATGGTTACATGCTTATACTTAGTATCAGTAAGGCAGGAATGTTGGAAATTGAAATAGCAAGTTAAATGGAAATTATAGACTTAACACATGAATTACTACACATAACTACATTAAGAATTATGAGTTGCATTCTTGTCCTAGCTCCACAGTTTATTAGCAGCATGACCTTAATGAAGTTATGTTACCCCACTGTGCCACAGTTTTGTTATTGGTAAATGGGGATAATAATGTCTGCCTTGCCTACTTTTCTTGGCTATTATAAAGATCAAATGGGCAATAAATGGGAGAGTGCATTGATTCTTGTATGTTTTTTCATGTAAGGTGGTATTATAGACTAAGAAGTATTAGTAAAAAGAAAGACATGACTCCTACCCTAGAGAATCCCTCCTGCCAACAGCCCCAATCTGATTTAGGGAAATAATAAACCCACAATGGGGAGAACAGAAACCTTACCTTCTAGAATTATCACTACTGTGTCCCATATGATTCGAAGGGTTGTAAAAGCCACAAGTAATGAAAACACATATGTACAGATGGGATCAGCAATCTTGTATTCTGGCTGAAAAGAGACAAATCAAAATTGTGTGATTAAATGCAAACAGACATAAAACAAGTCTGAAAAGCAAAGCAAGGCATACTCTGTCCCTTCTTTAGCAGGACTGGAGCATTTCTTTAAAACTTGGATATTGCCAATCGAGAAATGTCTACTGTTCTTTGTGAAACCCATTTCCATAAGTTTAGCCATTTGTTTCACTGTTTTCCTCTGTGCCTCCTCTAAATCTTCCACCCACAAGCCACAGACTATCAGAATTGAAAGGAGTTTCGGCAGCCATCCATCTGGTCTAAGCCCCTCGTATTAAAGTGGAGGGAACTCAAGTTTAGAGCTGGGGGACTTGCTTAAGGTCAAAGCACTACAGCCAGAGCCAACACTAGAACCCAGATCTCTGTATTTTCATGCCGGTATATATTCCAGTACCTAGTAGTTGAGTGACAAAGCTTAAAATTGAGTTTTTCAGTGAAAGCACCACCAAAACCAATAGATAAGTTATCCCTTGAGGTGATACTATTGTGACTGGTGCTAATAAAAGAGCGATACTGATAGTTCATGTATGTTTGCATAACTCAAAATGAATAGGACTGGCATTGGTGTCTAGTATACCAATAAAAGATAGTCGTCACCTTTAGTTTTGTTTTTCGTTTTGGCCGAGCCGCACAGCATGTGAAATCTTAGTTCCCCAAAAAGGAATTAAACCCATGCCCCCTGCATTAGAAGCACAGAGTCTTAACTACTGGACTCCCAGGGAAGTCCAGTCATTTTTAATGATGAAATTACAAGCATTTTAAAATAGAAGAATTAGCGATTATGTTACCTTGAATCGTATGATGTATGCAGCTATTAGCACACCAACACTCTGTACCAGATCCCCCAAGGCATGTACAAATGCAGCTCTCACTGCCAGGCTATCCTGCCCTTGGTTTTGTCCACATCTGGGACCTGTGGTAGGAGAATTTGAGGGCAGGGAGTGGGAATGGGCATGATGGTGACCAGATTGGTTCAACAGAAACCCCATTCTGTTAAGAATAAAAGAAAAGATTATTATTCTTTCTAGTATTATTGATTAAAATATTTGTTACTAGTCAGGCACTAATGAGGCAACATGAAACTCATTCATTTAATTAATATTTGAGTGCCTATTATGTATCAAGTACTGTTCTAGGTGTTGGGGTCAAAATAGTGGTAAGGCAGACATATCCCCATGGAACTTATGTTCCAGTAGAGAGGGCAGAGAATTAACAAATAAATACGTAATATACTAGTTGACAGTGTGAATGCTTTGAAGAGAAAGTAAAGCATGACCGGGAGATGGAGAGTGATGGGGAGTGATGGGAAAAGGCCTCACTAGGATTCTGAGTAGAGACTTGAATGAAGTCAGGAAGTGAGTGGTGGTGGAAGAGTGTTCTAGACAGAAGGACCACCAGGGCAAAGGCCCTAAGATGAAAATATGCTCTATGTGCTTTAAAAAGCAAGACAGCCATTGTGGCTAGAATAAAGTAACCAGGATGCTAGGAGGTGAGCTGGAGAGGTACACAGGATCTAACAAAATGCCTGCGGTAAAATGTTTTGATTTTATTCTAAGTATGAACGGAGGCCATTAGCACAGGGACTGGCAAACCAGAGTCTGTAGACCATGGTTGGCTCACTTCCTGTTTTACTACATTTTTTTCTTTTTCTTTTGCAAATAAAGTTTTATTGGAACACAGCCATGCTCATTTGTTTAGATACTAAATGGGGGTGCTTCTGTTCTATAGCAGTAGAGCTGAGTATATATAAAAGAGGCTCTCAATGCCTCACGTATTTATTATCTGGTCCTTTTACAGAAAAAGTTTACTGAACCCTGGTCCAAATGATTAAGTAAGTATTAAAGATTTTGTAGTTTTTAGGAAAAAGTTGGTAGTTAGAAAAACTTATTAAAATAAAAATACTATAAAAGTTATTTTAAAAACTTTGTCCTACTTAAATTCCTGATTATTAGTCAAACTTCAGTATACCTGGGCAAACCCATGAGAAACTTATATAATTTCACAACAGTATTTTATTAACATTTAGAAGAAAAATTAATGTACTATAAAACTTCAAAATATATTAAAATATCACTGCACATTATTGAATGCATACACAATAGTCTCTAAGTTCACAGTACTTGAAAATATTAATGTGAACACAATATAGATTGTGATACTATAATGGTAGATAGTGTCATTATAAATTTGCCCAAACTCATAGAATGAGTTTAACACCAAGAGTGAACCCTCACGTGAACTATGGATTCTGTGCAGTAATGATGTGTCAGTGTAGAGCTCATGGCTTGTATTAAAAACAAGTGTACCACCCTAGTGGGGGATGTTGATAATGGGGGAGGCTATGCATGTGTTTGGATAGCATACATATGAGAAGTGCTTGCAGTGAACCTAAAACTGCTTTAAAAAATAAAGCCTATTAAATTTTTTAAAAAATACAGCTTACATCACGTTAACTGCAACTCCAATAGCTGCAGTAATGAGCATTATATCTCCATTTATTTCATATTTCATGTGGATGGTTCTTTGGACAGCTTCATAGAGGAGAAACCCCATAAGGATATACACCAACAGCACACTAATCATAGCTGACAGAACCTCTGGAAGGAAAAATATAAAAAATAAATATATTTGCAGAATGGCTATTATACTTCATACATACTAAATACTGTGCAGTCTCTAATTTATATCTTCTTTCCTCTAAGGAGATAAAGGCATTATTTTTGTCATGTTATTTTTCTTATTTAGAAAATTGTTTAGTAGTTTGCTTTGGATCCTCTATTAATTCATTCCCACCACTCCCCACCTCCTTCTCATCTCTTTAGGGTCAAATTATATTTTTGGGTCAAAGTATATTTACAAACATAATGAAAAAAAAAACTGAGAAAGAATTTGTAACACACTTGGCCACAGATTAATTTCTCCATAGATGATATACTTACAAATCAATAAAAAAGCAAACAACCCATAAGAAAAATGGGTAAAGGACACAAATAGTAATATACAGAAAAGAAACAGGCATCAAAATCAACCATAATACAAGAAATTCTAATAATTCCTTTTTGCCCCTTACAATACTTTGGCCACCTCATGCGAAGAGTTGACTCATTGGAAAAGACCTTGATGCTGGGAGGGATCGGGGGCAGGAGCAGAAGGGGACAACAGAGGATGAGATGGCTGGATGGCATCACCGACTCAATGGACATGGGTTTTAGTAAACTCTGGGAGTTGGTGATAGACAGGGAGGCCTGGCATGCTGCGATTCATGGGGTCGCAAAGAGTTCGACACGACTGAGAGACTGAACTGAACTGAATTGAAGTTGGCAAATGTTAAAAAGTTTAACAGCCATAGTTAGCAAAGACATACTGATAGAAGCATAAAATAAAACTATCTTTTTGGAGAGCAGTTAGTAAAACTAACAAAATTTTAAAATGCATATGTTCCTTAATTCTAAAAATCTATCCAATAGAAACACATCCATATGTATGCAAAGACATCTACAAAATTTTCTACTGTAGTTAGCCTGTAGTATAAAAAAAGATCTGGAGACATCTTAAATGCCCACCAATAAGGAACTTAATGGATAAATTATGGTATATACATAATGGGAAGCCATAGTAATATATATATATATATATATATATATATATATGTATTTTTAATTGAAGTATAATTGATTTACAATATCATGTTAGTTTCAGTTGTATAGTACAGTATATATATATATATATATATCTTCTTCAGGTTTTCTTCTCTTATGCTCACTTTAGCTGTGTCCAACACTTCAATTGTGTCTAACTCTTTGCGACCATAACCTGCCAGATTCCTCTGTCTATGGGATTCTCCTGGCAAGAATACTGGAGTGGGCTGCCATGCCCTCCTCCAGGGTATCTTCCCAACCCAGAGATTGAACCTCTGTCTCCTGCATTGCAGGCAGACCCTTTACCACTCAGCCACTGGGGAAGCCCCAATATAACAAAATATTGAGTACAGTTCCCTGTGCTATATAGTAGGTCCTTGTTGGTTTATTTATATTTTAAAAAACGGGGAAAAAAAAGAACTTCTCTGGTGATCCAGTGGTTCAGAATCCACTTTGCAATCCAGTGGGACACGGGTTCGATCCCTGGATGGGGAACTAAGATCTCACATGCCTTGGAGCAACTAACCCCACACACAACTATTGAGCCCAAGCACAACTACTTAGCCCACACGCCACAACTACTGAGCCCACGTGCCACAACTAGAGTTTGTGTACCACAGTGAAAGATTTTGCATGTAGCAACAAAGACTTGACTCATCCAAATAAATAAATATTTAGCCAAATAAATAAGTAAAAAGGAAAAAAATCACGCAAATTGATAATCACAAGAAAAGACTGACAAGAAAATGTATACTTGGGAAGTAAGACTGAGTGCTTGGGGAATTTATTTTTCCCTTTATTTTTTGTAATGCTTGAAAAATTTTAAATTTTTACTTAAACACATTTGTCTTTAGACTAAAGAAAAACAAACCCATTTTTAAAGGAATGTAAGTATGCATGAATGCACTTTGACTTAGGAATTCCTCTTCCAGGAATGATATACACACTCACGTCAACTGAGCTGCACGTGTACAAAATGAGGTATGTTAAGAATCTATCTATCAAATATTACATAGAATAGCAAACAAGTGAAAACAATAAAAGAAGTGATTAGTAGGAGCATTGTAGCATGGAATATTATGCAGCTGAAAAAAGAATTGAGCTTTTAATGTTTTAATGAGGAATCATCTATGTGAAATAAGAAAAGTACACAACAGTATATATGATATGTTAGCATTTGTTGCCAAAAGAAAGAGAATATATAAATAATGATCTGTACATGCAAACTCTGGAAGAATATACAAAATACTGATAAAAACAGATTGCGAAGGAAATGGGTGGCTAGGAAACAGGGATAATGTTCCACTATACATGATTTCCACCATGTGAGTAAGAAGTAGAAATCATTTTATATCTTTTTAAAATTACTAAAATAGGGCAATGTAAAGTACATTTAAAAATAATTATTATATAAAACTAGTGTTGACACGCAGAACAATAATAGAAAGAAAATACATGAAATTTTTTTTAAGAAATCAAATATTAAACCTTTAAGTGTTATAAGTTAAAACAACCTGGAAAATTGTTATCTGGGTCAACTCATTGCTCAAAGGTCCCAGGCAGTTCAAGTATATTGGACTTTGATACATTTTTATTCTACCTCATAAATTGCAACACAGAAAACTATCTGGCAGTAAAATAAGCTGTTTCCCCAAAGACATCTCATTAATGTAGCCAAAACTCTAAAATTCTGTGAATCAACAGATGTTAGAATAAGACAAAAAACATAACAACTCCTATTTAAAACTATGATTCACCTACTCCTGACATACTAATTAACATACTTTAAAGGAGACATAGCAATAAGAAAGACAGAGAAAAACCAACTGAAATACACAAAGCTATGGAGAGACTACCATATCAAGTCTAGGCTCTAAGCCCCATAAGGATGTGACTACTTTACATTCCATGTCACATTTACTGTAGCACTCAGCAGAAAGGCTGGCATATAGTATGTACTCACGTATTTATGGATGGATCTGTAGAATGAAGTTAGTTAGGCTGAGTAAGGAAAGATAAAAGGGTACATATACAATTAAGAAGGTTAAGCTAAATATGAACAATAGGTTACTTACTAAATCCCGAAAAACAAGACTAGGTTAAAAGAAAAGAATTAAGCCAAATATAAGACTGAAAACACACAGAATTTCTTGTTAAGTTATAACTGCTGATGGCAAAATATACATATATAAATAATATAAAGAAAGAATAAATAACAAATTTTGAACTGTAAAATTTCAGGTACTAGTGGTTGGCTCCTCATTTTACTCATGAAGAAATAGAGCTTTAATTCTCTTTAATTCTTTTTAATTCTCTTAATTCTTAATTGATTCTCTTTAATTAATTCTTTTAATTCTCTTTAATTCTCTTTAATCCTTCTCAAACTCTTCTGGAAAAAAAAAAAGAACTTTAATCATGTGTCCAGGTTGACACTAGCTAACAGTTAGGACACCACAGTTTTAAGGGTACCTAAATAAAATTTTTAATATGAAATTATAAAGCAGTACATTTTGTAAAGATTAACAGTTATATGAAATTATAAAGCAGTACATTTTGTAAAGATTAACAGTTATACAAGTTAATGACACAGAGATGTGATTGCTTATGAAGATCTAAAACCAGTAATTAAAAATTCTTTCAAAACACCTTGTAATTAGGTTGGCCATACTTTTCTGTTTTCCCAGATAGCCCCAATTTATGCCTATTATCCTGTCATAATTACTATCAGTGTCCCATTTCACTCTCAAGAGTGTCTTTGTCTTTTGGATGATAAGATACATTGTGACCCTAGGAGGTCTTCCAGATAAAATACTGGATGCCCAGTTAAATCTGCATTTCAGATAGACAACCAATTTTTGCATATAAGTATGTCCCATGCAATATTTCAGACATATTGTCACCTGGAGAGAGCGAGAGAGCTTGCAAGTTAAATGTGCCAACACCCACATCTCAGTGATCGTTTTCCTAAACACTGAGAATTATCTTTTTGTGAACTTTCAGACAAAGCAAAACCATATTCAAAATAAAGTAAAATGAAAGTCAAACTAAAGCACAACGTTCTTGACAAGGAGGATTCCCCTCCTGAGAAGGCCCGAGGCCCTTGCAGCCGAAAACTGTTTTCCACCACACAGTTTTCACCCACATGAGGAGGACAAAGGACCCTAATGCCTGCCCATAGTTAAGAGTAATGGAATTCAGTTGATTCCTAGAAATTCTCAAAATTACATATTAGGATACTGTAACCAAAGATGTGGCTTATTCAGTAATTAATAGGAATGTGCCTCATATTTAGTTTCCCTGGTGAAAAGCAAAGAATTCATCTGTTATTTTTTTATTCTAATGATCTGTCAAAATGTTTTCTAAACAGAGCACTGATAAATGCAAAAAAGAAACTAAATTTTGAGTATATTTTTAGGACTGAGATTTATAATTGATAAGTATAAGGCACAGGAACATATATAACTAAAATTTCCAAGAGTAGACATATGATCATTCTGATAAAATGAACAAAAAGTTCTTTCACTGTGAATAAATTAAACTTTGGTGAAATATAATGAATAGACCTAATTAGTGTTTAAAATTTTTTCATAGTATTTTAAATATGATGGAATGTAGATAAATGCAGGCAAGATATTGTTTTCTCCCACATCTGAGAGAGAAGGAAGTTTTCAATCAACAACCAAATTATGATTTGCTCCAATCTTCTCATTCTTGACCTGTTGCCCTGGGTTGGTATCTGGTCACATAACATACATTAAAGTTTTTCAAGATGAAAGGAGCATACAACATGTGGATTTTTCATTTTCTAAAGGAGACTCAGGAACTTTCACAATTGAAACCCTAGTTTCTGTGAAAGTTACCATCCTATTCGTCTTAGATAAACCTGACAAAATGGAAATTTAGCATAGGTAAACTCTTGAAAGAGATTTTTATGGAAATTCTAGAAAACCTATTTTATA